GCTCCCAGGAAGCAACCAACCTCCCCGCCTGTTTCCAGACCTCCTAAGCACGGCGGAACAGGGTGCTGGAGTTAGTGGTGGATGTGGCGGCCGTCTCTGGGTTGTGTCGCCCCCTGCTCGAAATCCTGCTTCAAGGCAGCCCCAGATGCAAGCATGCTCAAGCTCGCGGTTCAAGCAATGCCGCCGAAGACAATGTTAGGTGCTTGTTCGGCTATCAATAACCAACGAACACGCACTTATCGACGCATCTATCAACCCGGCAGATCCTACTGCAAAAGCCATATAGTTGCCTGGCCGTTATGCTGTGCACGGAGCGCAGCGTAACGCAAGGCATACGTTGACGCCTCCGGCAAATAAGTGTAATTTCAACAATAAGAACTTGAAAATTATGAGTGCTAGCGCCTGGTTCCGGACAGGGAGCTGGCGTAGAAGGAAACGAGGGCGAAGAGGCACAAGGCCTGAGGCCTGGAACCCAACTGAGCTATCACTGGGCAACGAAAGTTTCTAGGAATGCAGAATCGGAGGAACAGATAGAAACTGCTTGCACAGTTGACGATGAGCAAAGGAGGCCAAAGTACGGCTCGGGTCATCCTGGAAAGAATACTTGGCTAGACCGGAAGCGGCAGGTCTGTCCAGTGCCTTTACGGAGGAATGNGGTCATCCTGGAAAGAATACTTGGCTAGACCGGAAGCGGCAGGTCTGTCCAGTGCCTTTACGGAGGAATGTTCATAATGTATGTAGAGTCTGTTAATAGCAACTTTACAGGCTGATACTGCGAAAGTCTGCCGTTCGCAAAAACCCTTTTTGGTGCAACAAGGTTGGGACGACGACGCAAAAAGCGGTCGGTCGTCTTCGTTGAGCCGTCGGGGGCCAAGCTTGACGCTCGAATAGTTCCTGTTCCTAGCGAATGCTAGCGTCTAAGGAGAACCCGATGAGGAGGCAAATCGCAAAATCGCCGACACATAGTATCTCTTCAGGAATACAACGGCGCGGCAGTGAAGGCTGAAAATAGCCAGTAAGAGCTAGTGTAGTCGGATGAAGGGGCCGCTGGTTCCGCCTCACAGAAGCTCAAGGAATTGTACCCAAATCAGAAGGGATGGTAACGAGCATTCATCAAGCTGTCTCAAGTTCAAAAACAAATGTTGTGCACGAGACAGGCTTGTCTTGGCTAGCGGTGTAACGAGAACCCCCGACTTTATCCGAGGACCATCTTTAGGTGCAAAAGAATCAAAATACGTCAAAATACGTAAGATAATAATTTGACAAAAGCAACTGACCTCCCGTTCAATCATCCGGCTTCCTGGGCACAGTGCCCAAGGGGCCTGAGGCGGGTACGAGCGCAGGCGGCCTGGTATGAGTTGCAATACAATTGCTCCAACTAGTGCCGCAAGGAGACCCAAGATAAGTGCACAACCAACTCGCCTTTTTTGTATGCACTAACAGTGTAGACAAGTGTTGAACACGTAGTTGAACGCTATTACGCTGCCTGTAGGCAAGCCAAAGTTTATGTATCAACTNTCGCGGGATTACAAGTTTTCCCATTAGTTATTTCAACAAGCTGCTGGACTAATTTTTGTCCACTGACTTCTGAACAGAGACCTCGTCGAGAATAGGCCTGCAAGCGATGGCTCTTTCCCTGCCCGATTCGTACCCACTCAACGCCACTACACGCTGCACTATCAAAGGACAGCAGAGTGGTTCCTGCCTGCTCCTGGAAACGGTGCCAACGAAGATGTCGGTGAGACCCTTTCACTTAGCTGACGTGCACAATTCATTTTATGATAAAATGGGTATACGCAAACAGCAGCGCCATGCTGCTTTGTCGGGGTCCCCTACCTGAGCAGCGCAGACTGTTGAGCCCTTCCAAGAGCCAACTAGAATTTGATGGGGATTCTTCTCAAGAAAGTGCGGTAAATATGTGACGCTATGTGAAAGGCACAAGCAGAGGAAACGCAGTAGTATTAGCAGTGTCGCGCCCCAGACTGGGCCCCCCCCCTCCCGGGAGGTCCCCTCTCAATTGTGACCCGCCAAAGAGTGCAGGCATTTGAACAGATCTTTTGCTTATTAGTTTCTTTTTTGTGTCCCGTTGTCTCTAAAATTGTGATTCCATAAGGATATTGAGCTTTTTGGGAAAAAAAGAAGGGAGAGAGGTGGGGCAAAGGCCTTGCGGCAGCTCTGCGCGGTAAAACAATTGAAGGTCCCCCCCCTGCAGCAGCCGCAGCGTTGCTCTTGTGAGCGGCTTAGCCTTCAGTTACCTGACCTGAAATTCTTGATCGAGCCGTATAAACAAGCTCGAGCGTTTATTGCCATCCATGCAGGTTCACGAGGGGCCGGGCCGGCCATCTTTCTCGCGATTTGTTACCCCAAGCAAACAAACGGCAGGAGGCTCTCTCACCTGGCCGTGCCAAGGACGCGAGCGGGGTGACAAGACAGCCTGCTAGCCCAGCAGCCATCATATCCAGTTTCCAGCGGAAAATCTCCTTTTCCTTCTATCCCTGTCCCCCTGGCTCGTCAGAGAAGCATCAACGTGCCCTCTTCAGCGATAAAGCCGTGAGGCGGCCGCCCCAGGGCAACGCGCCATACTCTCCCCGCATCTGTGTTATCCCTGGATCGTCTCTTATCCTTATTCAGTCTTATGCTTTCTTTTTCTTTATTTTTATTTTGAAGAAAGGAGGGAATCGTTGGGCCGAAGGCCTAGAGCCTCTTGATGCGCAAGCGGTGACCTCCCCCCGTCCGACTGCCTTGCAGCAGTTGCGCCACCATTTAGGGGGCCACGTGTTCTCAAAGGGCGGATTTCATCGTTTTACCAGTTATATTTTTACTTTTTTTAGCTTTCGATCGAGACACAAGGGGTCGGCCCGTCCACCTCTGGACACCTGCCAGCAAGCCACCCCGCGGCGGCATGTGAGGCGGTGGAGCGGAGTCGTGTTGGCTTCTTTCTTCCGCTTCTGTCTTCCTTTTTCTACTTACCTATCGGAACCCTCCCCTTGCATCTCGATTCTTCCTTGTTTGACCGTGACAGAAGGGGCTGATATCAAAGGCTCGAGAACAGCCCCGGCACAGGCAGCCTCCTTCTAGTCGCACGGCGCCGCCGTCTGCAACGACTGCCACTCGAGTGAGGGGTGTGGGTTGGGGGCTACACAGCTGCGGTCTGAATCTCCTGTGAGGTTCGCTCGCTTCTGCTGTACCCCGTGCTCAGGGCCTTCTTGCTGCCGTTTCCGTGCATGCAAGGACTCAATTAGAGGCCCCAGCAGCAGCTGTTGCAGTTCAGTNGGGGGGGAGCGAGATATATCCATAGGCAGGACCTTCTGCAAAGTTGCCACATCTCGCCAAAAGCGCAGCTGCATACACATGCACAGAGGCAGCTGTGTGGAGCCTTCGGCTCCAGCCTCGATCGAGGCAGCTCGCAGTTACTGCCTCAACAGCGAATTTTTAAGTGATGAGGCTACAGGCCTAGGAGCCGCTAAGCGGGCCCGGAGAGGCCTGCGGCCAGGCGGGGATCCGTCTAGTGACGTGGCCCTTACCAAGCGCTTGAGGCTTCCAAGACAGGATGACTTTGTTTCTGTCACTGATTCTTCTGGAAAAAGTGCTTCTGAGTCGTCGGCTAGAGCTGCCGATGGTGAGGGAGAGAGGTGGCGGCTCCTAGAGCAGTTGTCCCAGGTCATCCCAGCGGCAGGGAGTTTGCTGCCAGAGGGGCCTCCGCAGTCCAGTCACTACCAGGAAACATCTCAGCCTGCCGCTAGCGAGGTGCTTGATTGGGAAGCCTGCAACAGAGCTCTGGATAGACTTGTCAGGGCCAGCAAGCCCCAAAGCAGTCTTTCAGTGGAGTGGGACTCCGGCCTTTCAAGCCACAGTAGGGACATCGGCCTGTTCGAATTGCCCGTAGAGACAAATACGGACTTTCANTTGGCTTCTCTTTTGGGGGCGCCCGCTGAAAGCACCTCTTTGTTTGTTGCCAAGGGGGAGCTGGGGGCCAAGCGGACTACCAGCAATGCAGCCGACCCAATGAAGGAGAGGCAGAGGAGGGAACTACAGCAAAAGAGGACCCTCGATCTGGCCTCGCAGATTGTGTCAAGATTCAGAGGAGCCCGTCGTCCCGGCGTGCTGCAACTGCTGCACCGGTTCTTCTCCTGCAGCAGCCGGCAGGTACGGGACCCTCAGGAGCTTG